ACGCAATTTGTTGTTTCACACAGACGGTCATACAGGCGGTTGCGAACTAATTGGCGACGTAGAGTAGTCGGTGGTATTTCAACTATCGCTACCGATTCCTCTAGACCTGCCCTTCTTAAGCATCGTTTTATAGCTGCGCTTACTTCATCGCTTATGAAAGGCAACACGAACGGGACTTTCTTTTGGCCAAGTGTTTCGCGTGGGCGCGTCGTTCTCCTTGTAAACTTATCTCGTGGGGTTACTATTTCGTAGCCATTGGAGATGGCTATTTGCCGAGCCAAGTCGCGCGATTCTTCCTTTAGTTCCTTGGTAGTGCACACAGAGGTGGCTACTCGAAACATGTTTCTCACAATCGCCCTCTTTGTGTGTGAAGGGTGGGAAGAAAGGAAATGAACAAGGATGTTCTTGTTACTTGGCTTTCGATACCACTTTGTCAGGTAACCGCTACTTGATAGGTTTATTTGGACGTCCAAAAACGGAAGCCAGAATAATTCTACTTTAAAAGACCATGTTTTCTATAATGATCGGCTGACAAAAATATCATACCTTTTTAGGGCGACACTTCTATGTTATGCATTCACGGTTCACCTTAAAAAGTGCTACTTTTTCTGCTAACCTTATCTTTATATGCATATATATATATATATATCCTTGAACGGTTTGATTTGACGACGACTAGATAGACAGGATGTTAAGGATTATCGATGATCATCGAAATCCGATACATTGGGCTCTACTTCCTAGCTCGTGATGCTGTAATATAGTTCAAAGGGAAGAAACCCGTTAGGGGTAGACCTATGCTATTAGTGAACATGGAAACCAATACAAGGCTATCTTGCCGACATAAACAGTGAAATTAGAGGGTTGGCTGCAAAAATTGTGATGCGCTCTAGATAACTTTCAGAAATGTGGAGCTACATGGGGAGACCATAGAGATGGATGAGAATTTTGCTGTAGTCCAATAGAGTTACTCAGTGATTTACGAAATTACAAATGACGCAGGTGGTGTAGACAAATGTACATCACACATTTCCGTATCTACCGTATTCAGTTACCAGATAATAAAGAGGTAGAGTTAGTAACGTCAAAGGTATCACGTCATATTTAATATTCATATCTGCTTGTTATTATATTTTATACTTACTACCTCCCAACGGTTTACCGCCTCATCGTGGCTGGCAGGTGTTTCTGGGTGTGGGCTTACAATGCAGAACGGGGAGATTCATCCTTCGGCAGGGTCTCCCAAGCTGAGGAGGAGGCCGGCGTTTTCACCAGGAAGTCCAGCTAAGAGTAAATCAATACTAGGATCTACCACCATCCTCGCATCAATCTAGTTGCATGGCGGCAAATCTCACTGTGATTCACGAAGGCGACTGCCTGTGGTAGTGACGACCTGGTTAGACTTTGGCCAGACTGACCTCGGGACTCCAGGGAACCACAATGGCTAAACCAGAAAAACTCCGAAAGAATGGAGATTACGCTGGCGCTCACAACCAGTAAGGATGGGCTGCCAGAATATCGGGTTTTGTTAACGTTTCGATAATTTAAGATCGACCACTTGGCTGCTACATACAGACGTGGACAGACCATAATCAACATCCGTCTTTCACACTTTGTCGATCGTTGCTGATAGCGAACTATCCAGACTAGTTTAAACTGAAAATGCTAGCATTTTCTCCAAATATGAGGTCAGAGAGGTCATTAGGGAGACTTACAACATAAGGGTCAACTTCTGGTGTTCGCCAATGATTGAACACATCGTAAAACTGCGTTTAGATCTGTCCTGGTCCCCAGCAGTAAATTAGGAGTCTTTACATAGCACAGAATAGGAAGAATGCGACCGAATTGGATGCTATGTATATGGAACAGTCTCTTTACAGCCTTGTATACCTTTCAATTACCTTTCTCTAGATTTTTTAGCGATTTTTTTTTCAGCAGAACTTTTTCAGCAACTTTGCTCCAAGGCATTAGTAAAAGCCATCATATAAATTATTGCTAAAATCAGCTGAGTTTAGCTTCTTCTGATGTCTCCTGATGTCAATAGCCGCATAACGAATTCGCAACCATGAGCCATTAAAAGGTGACCTCGACAGTTTTTTCCTCGTTTTTACTCTCTTCCAAGATTTAAAGACTTAGAGGTTGAAGTTTTCCTGTTACCTCGTCGATTTCACCGTTTTGCTAGGTTATTGACTACCAGTAGCTGATTGCCTTATGCCTGTCAACTACCATTACACCATGGCCGTATCCTGTAACAAGTGGCTGAATAATCGATGTAGTAACCATTCGTGAACACTAGCGATTTGTGTGGTTCGCCTGCCTGTTAATTGTAAATGAAGGTCTCCATAATCAATCATCATAACTAAAAAGAGACGACGAGGCAAGTGAACGGACGGATGACTGAGGTCAACTCAGATAGTAGGGCGACGATAACGCTCCAAACCCCCTGACACACACTACATCACAAACGGAATACACACAAGCGTTCTTGGTGGGGGTGCTTAGAAATCGGAAGCGTTCACGAGAGAAGAATGAGGAATTCTAAAAGATTCTTGGTATTCAGATAACGTGAAATTCAGATAGATACAGAGAAACCAGATCTGTTAAATTTTCGTTTTTGCACTTAAATGTCTCCTCTTTTTTAATTCATTTATAGACTTCTTGGTGATACTTACTATGAAGCAGTGAATCTAGGAAGATGGTTGATTTGCAGCAGAGTTAGATAACTTTGTACAACAGCTTAAGTTAGTTGAAGCCATCGAATAAATGAGTGATAATTTTCGGACTCCATAGAAACAAAGACTGACGATTTTTGTGATTTTCGATCTCAGTTAGTGAAGTGCAATATGTTTATAGCAAATTCATGGCGGATTCGAAGGAAGGATGTAGGAAATTTTAAACATCGTTGTAAACGTAAAGATATTTCATCCACGGTACATTATACACATTCATTTATCTATAGGATCTGATCCATCAGGTGCAAAAGGGCGCGTTTGGCGCAGTGGTCGGAGGCGCCCTGCAACACACACGTGGAATCGATCCTCGCTCTCATGGCCCAGCAAGCCTTCGCTCTCTCCCGGGATCGGCAAATTGGTACCAGACTCACCTCGGAGGATAGCAGCACCGGCTCGATACATCGGTAGGCCACCGCGAGTCATTGTAAAGGTCAGATATGCATTCAGTCACCTACAACGATGCTTAGTGAAGTCGAATGCATGGCGCATCCCTCAGGGACTGATCAACGACGAGAGCTTCACTCTTTTTTTTATTACCAGATAAATTACTGCATGATCAACTTGCACACTTCCTTCCACGGTTACTAAGCTGTATAGATGGTTTCTAAAGGAATTGGTTCCACTAAAAGGCCGATAGCGGTGCTCACGTGTTAGAAACCGGCAGTATTGGGAATTTTCAACAAATCACCAAGAAAATCTAAACCGAATTTGACCTTTTGATAAAACTCTTTCGAAGGCATCGCTTCCATGCTGTACTGACGAGATATAACTTTTATTCAAGAAATTGTCCTTTTAACACATTTGCAGTGAGTTTCAGAGGAAACTCACTCTTTGGGTCTAGTAGAAATACCTGCCTATCTAGTCCAAAAACCATTAACAATGTTGTCGCGTATAGTTTTAATACATTCTCACCAAGATAATTGTCCTTAAAAAAGCTTTTCCATTTCTGAGTGTAGTTTACCAGCCCAGCTAGGAAAGACCGTGCCTCTCAATGACGGCTGTGATGATGTACAGTAGATCTGATCACCTGCTGCCAGATGGGCTGGAGAAGATGAGAATGAGATCGATGGTCCCAACGAAAAATTAAGCTAAGAATGATCTACGCTACAGATCGCCGTCGTCTTGAAAAGAATTCAGTTACAAAGCCGCAATCCCTCGATCGTTCACAATGTCCTACGGTTGCCTATTAGAACACGAAGGCACTTCATCACGAAATCCCAGAGGAAACGAGAGTCTCTCCTGAGAAACCACTACAGAATTTGCGCTGGAACCCTTACCATGTGTAAAAAAGAGGAAAATAACCTTCCAAAAATCCAGTATTAGAGACGATCGCATCTTCACCTAAAGCGGAAGCACACTTATCCACGAATTAATCTTATGAAAGCATATGTTTCCACTGTATGCGAATGATTCCGTGTCTCATCAAAATAAGCTTCTTCATGCCATTGTTGGGCGAACGACGAAGAACACGTGATAAATCATTGTCGGATTCGTTGGCGGTCGTCTACTCAGATATGCTGCTCTAATCCGCTTGACCTCTTCCGCGAGGTTTGCCGTCCGTCGCCGAATCGTGGACCACACGACAATCCATCTTCACTAAATCAAAACCGCACAGCCGCTCACCCGACTCATGCAAATCACCGACGCCACCAGATTGATGAAGCCGACAATTGTGGTCGGTGTTTCCCCCGTGGGGATCGGAAAGCAAAATCTTCGCGTCTTATTATGGGCAAATCTTCCGTCCATCCGAAACGTTTGGGCTAAAAGCAGAATGTTTATAGACAAGGGTATGTCACTGGTTTTGTTAAAATTTCACCAAAACAATTTTCTTTTGCTATTAGTCTCTGGAAAACAACAGCATCTAAGACATTGTGTAACAATCACTAATACTCTCAGAATTACGAGCCGAAAGGAAGCCGTTATTCAAGTCTTACGACATCCTCTGGGTTACTATGAATTGTACAGCAAACAAATAGAAACGAAACCATAACTAGGACTAAAGAGTTTTAGTGTCTAAAATGATGAATGCATACCAGTTAGCCTCCTTAAATTTCGCTTGGCCATTACGAAAACATCGAATAACACCTTAAAAACACTACCATACTTTCCTATTGATGATAAAACTTTCATAAACGTCCGACAAGCTCACACAGTACCCATATGACAACGACAATGTAGAAAAGGAGAGACTTACTAAAACGACTTCAAATATTTCATAACGCAAAAACCAAAACAGATCCTGAATTTCTCATCCATTGTGAACACAAAATGAACGAAACATTGGCGGAAGACAGCTGCATCACCTCCAAGGCTCTCAAGACAATGGGAAAGAAACCGATATTCCTACCTGGAAAACCAGCATCGAATCAGTGGCGTAAAATTCAGCCTTCAATGAGGTAAACCTGCTTCCGATCTGGAAGTGCAAGTGATGGACCGTTGTGACGACCTGAGCTAAGCTTTACAGCGGCTGTCTCGGTAACTAAAGTAAGGAAAAATCCTCCGTAAATAAAAGCTAAAGAAAGCCTCCGTAACTAAAAGTTCCCAGTCAGCTTGAAATGTGCCGCAGACTGCAGGAATCGCCGTGGAAATAGCTAAGTCAAGTATAAACTTACAAGTCATGATCGACGAAAACTCGGTGGACACTTCTTTCTCTGTTTTGCTTCATCGTCATAGATGCTGTTATAAACATAATAGAACCAGAATATATACCCTACGGTATTTTATAACCACCATAATAATAGAATAGTTTTCGTTTCACCTTGGAAACCAACCTGGTTACGGTGGCCGTTTAGTACAGGAGGCGCGCTTTCCCAAACGTGTTCTGAAACAGTTGACCATTATTGATGGCCAGTAGTGTTGTTCTTTCATAGCAAGGATTGTGTCTCATCAATTTTGTACGGTTTCGAAAGAGAGGACATTGAATAGTCAGTCAGGTTATAAATCAGGTGGTTACAATGAAAAGGACACCGATCAACAGCAGCACTAGCAAAACGCCACTCAGTGATTGAGAATGCTATGGATTCTTCCTAAAAGGATGCTGTGATAACTTAACCTCATAAAGTGTAAGTGATGAATAAGTATATAAATTAAAAGAAAGAAAAACTTCTAAGCAACTGTAGTAGCAAGGATAGCAAGAAGGGCCTCAGTGGCGCAGTCGGTAAAACTTGAACCCTCGGAAAGGAAAATCGCGGGTTCGAATCTAGGCCGCGGTCTGAATTTTAAAAATATCTCAGCATCATTCTGTTGTATTTCACATAATACCCTGTCATTAAAAAGCAATCATAGACACTAAATAAAATGCAACACATTATAATAGTGCATTTGAACTTTTCAGATGACGCAATGCTTCTGACAGACAGTATCATATAAATGCAATGTTTGGCTTGTAAACGAGTTTTATCAAGTCAAATTTTGTGCAACTAAATCTCGGTCTACGAATGAATTCCTACATAAAGGATAAGAGATAAAGCTCCCTGCGTTCATCAATTTCTGAGGGATGCACCATGCATTCCACTTCACAAAGCATCGTTGCAGGTGATTGAATGCATATCTGGCGTTTACAATGACTCGCGGTGGCCCACAGATGTATCGAGCCAGTGCTGCTATCCTCCGAGACAAATCTGTTACCAATTTGCTCACTCCACAGGGATGGACGGCTTGGTGGGCCTGGGGGTGGGGATCGATCCCATATGCATTGCAGGGCGCCTCTCACCACTGCTCTATCTACATGTGTAATTCATTTTATGTCATGCTGTCATGAGTGTATTTAGAAGAAGTAGCGAAAAGCAGAAGCGAGTACGAGTAGTAAATACTAAGCTATAAGTTGCAACAAGTTTTGATAGTAGCACTCGTAGTAAATAGTAGTTGGTTTAATCTCACCTGAAGAAACACGGTGCATAATTAAGGCATTATAAAAGCATAGGAATTCCATGTATCTTAAGAATCACGATGAAAACAACTGCAAAGAAAAAATGGCCGAATTGAGCGCTAATGAGGATTCCGCTAAAGAAGAAAGTAGCCAAGCCAATGAACGCATGAGGTCCTGCGAAGAATCTATGAAAATGTAGTGGCTACTGTATTTTTTTTCGCATTGTTGGCTGGTTTTATATGTACGGGACCCTTTGTTATCATTATAATGGGTCCCGAAGGATTCCATGAAAACGGAGCAGTCGCTGTACTTCTTGTATAGAATTTTCTCCGATTCCAATTTTGCAAATGCTTTTTTATTTGTTATTTTTATGTGGGAAAAGACTCCTCTTCGTCTTAGATGATGGAAGATTTGGGTGATTGTTTCTTCGATGACCGTGCAAGCAATGATAGCTCAACGACGTCCAATACTATGGTCTTATGCGAGTTTTGCATTACGTTTATTTATCATTGTTTTTACGTTCTTATTTTATGCTACATCGTGACTGTATCGATTTCCGTCTCTAACAGCGTTGTTTTTGTACCAGACTACTTCTAGTTTTGACACATAATAATAAAGAATAAACGTTGTCGGCATTGATCAATCCCGAGGGATACGCCATGGAGTCGACTTCATTGCTAGGGGTGACTGAATGCTTATCTAGCCTATACAATGACTAACCGTTGCCCACCGATGAATCGAGTCAGTGCTGCTATCCTCCAGAGAAGTCTGGTACTAATTTTCCACCCCCGAAAGGATGGACTGCTTGGTGGGCCAGGGGGACGCAAATCGATCCCATGTGTACCGCAGAGCGTCTCCAACCACTGCTCCACACGCGCCAATATTTTGATGAATAGTTTGCTTAAAGCATGTCGGAAAGGTAACTAGTGTAATGTCATCTCGACAAATTGTTTTGGTTTCCTTAAATGACCGGAAAGCAAGATTGTTCAGTAATGGTAGCGCACACTTTGGTAGTAGTTGGCATAAAAACTGATCTGCTTTTACTGAATACCCTATAGATTTCATCATGACTAGGATAGTTAGTTTACAAATGATAGAGTGCATAAGAAATGGTTTGTTTTTAGATTATGGGACATCAGACAGGGATGGATACGGAGAATATTTGCCACATGACATCCTATCTGCCGCCGGTGTGCAAGAAACGTTGGTTTGAAATCTAAGAACTAGTTGTTGCAAGTCTCATATGATATCGTCAATTTTTCTTTACTGCCTACTCTTTTTTTTTAATGGCAAAGGTATTATATGAAATGTAACCATAATGATGGTTTGATATCTGCAAAATCTCCTGACCGCTGGTGTCTGCGGTCGGGATCGAACACGCTGTTGCCCTTTCCGGGGACTAGCGCGTTCACCACCACGCCATGCGGGCCTTTCGTTTCACCTTTGTCTCAGCCGTATTATTGACTTATAGATGCTATCAGCAATGCTAAGTATGATGGTAGTGTGATATATTAGACATTTTGGAGCTTTTACTTCGGGGCTCTATTGTTACTTTACAATTTCTCTGAACTAGATATGGCGATTTTTCACCTGTAACTAGCAAGGAGTCGTTTTCTTCCGATGATGACAACGAAGATTTAGAAGAATCGAAGGTGCACTCATAGTTTTACGTGCCATAGGATTGTGTGTCAAAAAAAATGTGAATTTTCAGTTTTCTCAGAAAAACTGTCATGATACTTTTGATCGACTCATGCCTGATACTCGGAAAGTCTGGTAACTGTAATCAAGTCTAAATTGAGGCTTTTCAATGTTACTATAACTTTGTTAACTATATTTCTTTTCAGGAGGTGCCATATCGGAGATACATGTGAGAATTACTTTGTTATGACAGGAAAACTTGTTCCGACAGAGAGAAAGGTAGTAAGATCTTAAGCTTTTTAGCGTCCATTGTTGTAGTTTCGTCATCGCTATCTGTTTAAGCAGTGTCTGCAAGCTTGACGAAAACTTCCAGGGTCTTGTCAAATGATTATGATAACAATTAATAATCAAAACAAATAATATGCACGATACTGTTTTGAAATTCTTACGATCAATACTTGAGGTCTGATGGAAATGCGGGATTTTGCGCAACATTTCATAACATTACTTCATACTTCACCTAGAATGCTTCCTTTGTAAAGTTTCATATTTGGTGTTGAAGATTCGTTTTTGCTTATTGTTATAGGGATCTGTTCAATTACCAGGAGAGCTCGCTGCTTCAGTTTATCAAATGGTGAGTTAGATGATGAGCGTCTTTGGTTTATTCTTTTGCATTGTGCTAAGATAAAATAGGCTAAGTTATCCATACGGAAGGTGAATGAAAGTCGGTTGGCATTAGGATTTACGGGATTTTTTTTCTGTTTCTAATGTATTTTGGTCTGCCACAATGTAATCACTTTTTATTTGCTGCCTCTCCTTTTTTAATAGCATGGTATTATGTGAAATATAAGCATAACCTGTGGTGTGGTGGTGAACGTGTTAACCTCCAGAAAGGGTAGCATCGTGTTCGATCCTCACCACAGGCGTCAGCTGTCCGGAGTTTTGGAAATATCTCAGTATCGTTGTGGTTATGTTGTTTAAATATTACATTTATTTTAATTTTTTTTAGCACGTGCCGAATTCTGAAAGAACCAAGGAAATAGTCGACATGCTTTTCGCTGGTTCGCCCAAAAAATACATTCGTGGAAGTTTCTTCAAGGTAAACATACACCAAACGTTTTGTGAATGCAGTTTCATAATGATTTAATTGCAGATGCAAGAAGATAAATGGACAATTTTCTGGCACCCAACGCGACTCACTGATCTGACTACGTCCGCAATTCAGTCTGTTATATGTGCAGCTCTGAATTCACGACGTCGCCTGCTCTTTGTGATAGGCGTGGCTAGCAATAGTAAAGTATGTATTTTGAAATAGCTCTCATGTTTACAGAAATTTACTGACGTGGGTTATGTCTCGTTTCTACGTTTATATTTTTCGCTTGATTAAATGAAGTTTACTTGAGTATGAGCGTGTGTAGCGCAGTAGTGCAAGGCGCCCTGCAACACACGTGGGATCAATTCCCTCGCCATTAGCCCACCAAACCTTCCATCCCTCCGGAGTCGGCGAATTGGTACCATATTTGTCTGGGTGGTCAGCAGCACCGGCTTGATTCATCGGTGGGCCACCGCGAGTCATTACCAAGGTGAGATATGCATTCGATCAACTCCAAACGATGCTTAGTGAAGTCGAATGCATGGCGCATCGCTAAAAGATTGGTCAACGCCGAGAGCTTTATCCTTTATTCTTTTTTACTTGGGGATTATTTATTCGTCCTACATTTTCGGCCACATTTTAGATCGTTGGTTGCGTGCTGTCCGACGTGGAATGTGGTATTATCAGACAGCAGTTTGGGGAATGTACTTCTTTGGGGTTTATTCCTTCACTTGATGAAGGTATCGTGCGTTTCTGCTTTCATCAAGTGTACGATGAAGCTGGAAATCAGATTCCTTCCTTATATCTTGCTGAGATCTCTATCAACGACAAAGTCGATACGGTTCGTCCTAGCAATGTTTTGCGTTTTCTTTACCATTTATTATGTTCTTTTCAGCTTTATCAATTGTCATCTGGCCGTATTTTCTATGTCAATCGTGGTTCCGTTGTACGGCACTTATCTTTCAATGATGTGCGTTTGTCTTTAATCGTTCGTTACCTATGTAGCTGTTGGCTTCGAGCTAATATTTCAGGCTTATAATATGTTACTTCGACGTAAAACTGAAGTTAATAGGGTTTCCGAAAACCAACCCAACAAAATGCGGTAAGATTCTTAAGCAACGATGGAAACTACTTTTTATGAAGTTTCTTGTCTGTCTAAGAGTCCCGGTGCCATGTCTAAGAGGATCCGGTACGATCGATTCTTCGTTACTCAAACGAGTGTTTCTGTTTGGTTTTCCTGGATTTGTTGTTGGACTACTGGCATACGACTACCTGCCGAAAATGTTACGGAACTAGGAGCCTGGTATTCACGTTGTTATCATTTTTACTTTATAACATTTTAAAACAATTTAAGTAGCTTTTTTCCTGCATTCGTGCATTTCAGGTGTTATATGTGTGCATGTTATTCATGGATTTTACTATTTTGTATACCCAAAACTCCTTGCATAATTACGTCAAACGCACAAAAAACGTCGCATCAAGTGTTATTTACTAAAGTGAGGTGTGTTTGAACCTAATCTTAATATCCTTTTGCCGTCATTTTTATAAAATTGCAATTTTTTCACTTTGGAGGATACTTTCACGTTGTTTTGATCTCTGCTTTCCTCGTTAGCAGTTTTTTTCATTGTTGGCTTTTGAGGTTTTACCTCCATTAAGGCACCAATGGCTACAATCTTCGAAGCTAAATTGGTTCAGCTTGTAAAGTCAAAAAGTTTTGTACTGTTTATTCATTTGCTTGTTTCTTCCTGGTTATCATGAGCTCGACAAATCTCGTCTGTAGTTTCGTATCGCCCTCAATCTTGGGTATGCTAGTTATGCTTTAATTTTGATGTAAAACCTGTACATTCCTTAGCCTTGTTATATTGTTACCGTTGTGTTTATTGGATAAAGGACGAACTATCAAAGTTTGTGCTAAGATCAACCAAGTTTATGGTTCCGACCAGGCTTTGCTTGCAATATAGAGTGTCTAGCCGTTGATTATTTTCCCTTGTGAGCACACATGAAGTTGTTATTACTTCTTTTGCTTCATCTTCATCGTTATTGCATTCTTTTGTATGCATCTGCTTCCATGGTTCCCTTGTTCTCCAAAGGTGTTTGTTGTTTTCTGGAGCTATCGAAATATGAAGCAGGTCGCTGTTTTGCCAGCTCATTATCAAATGTGGAGAAAAGTAAGTGCCTTATAGTGTGGAACATTCTCAAGCTGATCCACGGCAGTCTGTGCTAGATGGGGAGATTTGGGAACGTTAACATAGTTTCCTAGTTCTTAGTCACCTAATTTAGTAACCAGTATGCGACAGCAGTGGATAAGCTTGCCATTCGAGACTTACAATTCATTTGTTTTCCGCAGATTGTACCAGTGAATGTCAATAGTTGATCAAAGGATGAGGTATTAGGGGCTGGTCAGTGCCCTAGGGACACGCCATGCATTCAACTTCGTTTATAGCATTGTAGAGGTGGTTGAATCTTATTTGTCTTATGAAAAGACTTGCTGGGTCTTACCGATGTGTTAAGTCGATGATTTTATCCTGCACGACAAGTGCGATACCAATTTGCCGATCCCGTAGTGATGCTTTGCCCTCAACGTGAGATCAAACCAATGACGTGTTGGGAACCCTTAACTACTGCACTACACTGGTAGTAGTTAGTAACATTAACAAGTTATGGTTATCGTTAATGGATATGGTGAAACGTATCACTTGAATTTACAACAACCAATTAAAAGCCTCTTTTCAGCAGAGTAAGTAATACTGTTTTGAAAAAAAGAGATCGTATCGCGCATTTTTTGTAAAAGGAAATCAATAGGGCTGTTTCAGAAATGAAAACGGCAGTGTTACATGTCTTGAAAGTATTTTAGGTTTCTCTGTTGGTAGATGCTGATGTTTACTTGAAATCACATCATTTATAGGCGAGCAAATGAAAATGAGACCATGACGTCTATAATCATCTCGATTCCACTCGTTCACTTCATTTCTCATTCGTTCATTGAACTTGGTCACTCACTTTATTTTGTAACCCAAGGTGTTGCAACAGGATTGATTGCAACATTTTATAAAAGGATTCGGTCTGTTTCAGTAGTCTACTCAGTTTTTTCAATGGATAAGTCGACTACGAGCCAAGAGATCCAGTGACTAATGATGGTGACGTGCTGGGAATACCCGAGTTTGGCTGTATTTCGAGATGTTATGGACAGTTATTTTCGACCAGCATTCATGGTATAATTGAGTTGAGAAGACGACAAATCCCAATGTTCTTCAAGATTCAACGGACTTTAAGCCGCATAGGAACCCAGTGGTTGCCGTCTGATGGTCATCCTTCAGTTCTTAGTAAGCTGACGAACTTTGGCATCGACACACTACTTGGTATCAAGGCATCTTCTGGAATGTTTGCAGATTAATTTATAGTCGCTCGATTCATAATCATTACGTTGAACAGAGTGCTTTGCAAAACACATGTGGATCGTTGGTTCGACCCCGTGCGCCGAGAACACCAACACTTTCATCACTCGGAAAATTGTTGCCAGACTTGTCTGGGAGGATAGCAGCACTGGCTCAGCACATCGGTAGACCACCGCGAGTCATCGTATGGGCCAGATATGCATTCAATCACTTTCAACTATACTTAATGAAGTCCATTGCATGCCGCATTCCTCAGGGATTGGTCAACACCGAAAGCTTCATCCTTCATCCTTGTAACTGGTAATTCAAGTCCCCATTTCTTGTTTTGTCAAAAGTACGTATCATTTTTCACTCACCGTATGAATCAAGAGTGTCGCGATCACGATCGTCAATCGTAGACATGGCGTTGAATCTTTGAGTGTTTTAGTGATCAACAACGTTTGGGTTATGAACCAAACGACCATAAAATCATATACCCGCAAATTCGCCGGGAAACTAGTTAAGACAAGGTGAAGTTTTGGTACAAAAGCTTTTAGGCTTACTTAGAACTTGGAGGTAACCACCAAATGCCCACCACTTTATTAAGAACAAGGAGAAGCAGCGGTCTGTAGTTGGCCAGTCCTCTAACGCTATGCGTTCGAATCTTAAAATATTGTAGAAGTGACTGAATGCATATTTGACCCATGTAGTTATGGAAGGTTGCCAGTATATCAAATCAATGTTTGTATTCTCTCCAACAAGTTTATTACCAATTCGCCAAACTCCCAAAGACGGAGTGCTTGGTTTGTCCGAGACGCATCATTCAACCGAGGAACATGGAAAACGTCTCTAACCACTTACTTCTCTACAAGTACTCAGAATTACGAAATAACGTGCAGAAATAAGTAAAACAAGTGAGTGGCAAATGATTCTGATTCTTGATGACTGATAGACATATTTTTTGATTTTTTCCGCTTTTTTAAAATTTTTCACTTTTTTCACTATTACGTGGTATCGAAACTGGTTTCTTTTGTAAGATATGTTACTCTCGACTGGTTGTTTCGCTTTTCAGCTGAACGCATTTGAGCGATACCGTCACAATGTTTTACGATGTAAAGACAGTGGAGCTGTTCGCCCATTTTGATGTAGATGTTACAAAAAGAAAATGAACACCGAATTCTGAGCGCTAGCCATTTTAGTTCAAACAATTATCGTACATTATTATTACGACTACTATATTAGTACTTATTTGGATACATGGATGGCTCATCTTCACTGATTGTGCGGGCCCATCATAATTTCTATTGTTTCCGAATTTTGCTGGTTTAGTCACTGCGGTTTCCTGGTGTATCGAGGTCAGCCTGGCCGAAGTCTTCCTTAGGTCGTCACCACAGTCACTGTGAATCAGAGGGACGTTTACAAACATGCGACTATTTTTGTACCAGGACGGTGGTGAATACCGGTTTTGGTCAACTCTTATCTGGGTTTCCGGATGGAGACAGCAGGCTTCTCAGCTTGGAAGACCTTGCTGGGAGAATAAATACCTCACTTACACATCGCAACCCAACACACGGGAAAACCACCCAGTCACGATAAGGCGGAAAACCGTTGGAAGACTATATTTTTACTGTTGTTGGATTGTTGAGGTTAAGTTATACAGAACGACGATTCAGGCGATGAGATCAATAATACATTTCTCCGTCGGTATTGTCACCTTATCACCATTTTGCCTTGTACAGTGTGTTTTTCAATTGGATTCAGTTTTTGTGTGCTGCTCCTACGAATATGCAGTTTCAAGCCGAGGACATTTTTGACAATCGCTCGTCTCGGAGGAATATTCTGGAATTCATCGCTACATATACTTCACTAGGCACGGGTAGTTTACAGCAGTTACCCAGGTATTATATTCTTAGCTTCACTCCTGTATGGAAATTTTGAAGTCCTCAGATGATTTTGTTGGATTACGACCTTCATGTTCTGCGGCGCAGTTCGGCAACTAGATGTATTAATAACACAATATCGCTATGAGGCGTTATACCTTACCAGTTAAGTGTAAACAAATGTTGAGAATTGTAATGAATGTTGACTTTAGTATTAGTAGCTGTTCATGTTTTTTTGATCCGGGAACGATACTTGCCTCAGTAACCTGCTATGGAACGGTCAGTGAAACACTTCAACGAAGGAAACGAAGTGAATGGGAATTGGATTGCGACGTTCATTATCTATGGATATATTACATTAGTATTACCAAATACATAAAGGTTAAATGGTAGCGGTGTCAATGGACGTCATTAGTGTGTCTTGACAAATGTTGAAGAATAACGCATTACGCGCTGATCATTCCCTGAACGATGCACCATGCATTCGATTTCAACGAGCTTCCTAGAGCTTACTGAATGCATATATGGACTTTACAATGACCCACAGCGGCCTACCAATGTATTGAGCCAGTGCTGCTATCCTCCCATACAAGTCTGGCAGCCGACCCCTGTGGGAAGGAGGGCTTGGTGATACCAGGGCACTGAGATTGATCCCTTGTGTTTGGAAGCCTGTGACCATTGCATTACACGCACCCGTTACTCGATATTATTATTCCTAATTAGAAATTAGGGACTCGCTAGATTTGTGTGTGGTTTGAAGGTTACCTCAAATGGCTAGTTGTCAGTGGCCAGAATTTTCTAGTTACTCAGATATCTGGGAACCATTTTCATGACTTCCTTGCATGAGCAAGCATTCTTCCGTTTTACTTGCGCAAGTCGTCACCGCAAGCATTCGTCAGTTTAGAGGGTGGTTGTGAGTAGAAAGGAGCTCTGATCCTTGTCCTTGGTGTTTTTTTTCATGACGGCAGCGATTCTTGCCGATGATTTACTATTTTCGATTACTATGAGGAGCTGAACTCTTTATTCTGAATCAAAATTTAAACCTTGAAACACCATCTCGCCATGATGAAGCTGTAAAACAGTTGAAACTTCATGTAAGTGACAACTAATTAGTACATAAAGTAGAACTAAATCAGCTCTGACAGATGTATTTCCAAATATTTTTTGTTTTGTTTCTTTAGAGTTAACCAAAATGCGTATTGAAGCAGGATTCTATTTAAAACGGATTACCTTGTAGAAGGTGGGCTTTCTTTTATTCGTCGAAGAAAGTTCGTACTACGACAACTTGCTGCATATATTAGAACACGAATTCTTGCACCTAACAAAAAAAAACTGGAAAGGAAAGTGCTCCTAAGTGCCGAGGAACAAGTTGTCAGCTGTAGCATAGTTGACTAAAAGAAACTGAAATCGGAGTTATTTCTGGTATTGTTCTACGTTCAGAGAAATCAAGGAACACAGAGACAGTGTAAACTCGAATTAAGAAGAACATTTTTTTACTTTGGCTTAATATTCTATTTATGCCATCCGTATCAGCAATGATAGGGTGCGTGTAGTGCTGTGGTTTGATGTGGCATGCACTACACATGGGTTCAATCCCAAGCCCAGGCTCATCAAGTCTTCCATTACTCCGGTATCGACAAATTGGTACCAGATCTGTTTGGAAGGACAGCTGCACTGGTCCAACATATCGGTAGGCCACCGCGAGTCATTGTATAGCTAAGATATGCATTCAATCATTTCAAACGATCTTTGGTGAAACAGAGCATGGCGCATCCTTCAGGGATTCATCACGCCGACAGCTTTATTCTTTTTGATCAGTAATGATAAGATTGGTTTCAAACTTCACATAGACACATCTCCACCGCTGCTCAGTATTAGAGGTATAGAACAAAACACTCAATGTCGACCAATCCTGTAGACATGCATCATGCGTTCGACTCCATTCGTAGTATTGTAGAAGTGCGTACTTGACCTATACAACTACTTGTGGAGTCTATGAAGATTACCGGCAAATAAAATCATGTTTCCATCGTTCCAGGCAAGTTAGATTTTGGTTTGTTGATTACGGAGAAGTAGAACGCTTGACGTGTCCGAACCCGAGATTGAACCAAAGACCTATTTATATTAGAGGGCACCTTTCAGAACTGGACTACAAGCGCGATGGTCACTATGGAATACATGAATCAATAAACAAAAACAACAACAGTGGAAGCTCTCGATATTTTTAGATTGTATGTTATTTCACATATGGCAAATCAGTTTCAATAAAGGATGAAGCTTGCGGATTGTAAGCCGCGATGAATCAGATCACCTAAGGAATAAGACGATATGTCGACTCCCGTGTATATCACACCAAACTTTATAGTGTTCTACGTATTTATTGAACGATGATTATTTAAAGAACAATTTGTAAATAAATATCACACGTAGATGACAATTGCGGAGCGCGTTATTATGCGCAACAAAGGCATTTAGGAAAAGAAGAGTTGAGGACACTTGTAAAATCACGGCTATAACGGCGTTGATGAATGCCGGACGAAATATAACAAAATATCGATTGATCAAATAGATCACATCAAACAGAAATCTATTGATCTCACACAGTACTTTTACTCGCGAAATAAACACATTGTTTAAGCACATATCTAAGACGTTACATATCACACTGATGGAGGAGACACGTGTATTCTGGGAGCATGGTGTGTTCTTTACAAGTAAGATAAGGAATCATGTGTTTTATGCTGCTCTAATGTCGTCGTTCGCTTTTTGGCATGTATCAAGAGAATACGCTTGAAACGGCAAGGTATAAGAAAAAATAAAACGAAAAAGAAAAAGTACGGACGAACTTTTGAACAAGAATATGAGGGTAACGATACTTAAAATATCCCAAAAATCGCGCATCGATCGATATGCATTATTGAGAGTTGCACGAATTTGAGGTTACGTCATAGGTCGGAAAGATTTTGAATTAAAGTGGTTAACAACACTAAGTGATGATTAGGTAATAGGCGCCCTAAAGTTCTTCGTAAAATATTGGGCGCATATAGGATATGTTCTTTTTTAGGAAAAGGAGCTTAGCGTTTCGTGTATATTTCAGGATTTGGAATTCTTCACAAGCATGTAAAATTACATGTGAGCTGTTGTTAACTAAATGTCATTCCACGAAATAGCATTGGAATAGGACGTCAGTGAAACTTCGATGACCGGGTGCAGTTTTGAAAACGCTGTAACGATGCTAGAAGTATAATTTTAAATAGGTAAAGGCTGTTCTTCAAGATTGAATAAGTGTATAAATCGGTTGATGTGGAAGAGCTTGTGGCATCGTCATTGGCACGGCACCGGGAACGAACTGTGCGTCTATGGATACCTAAAATTCTCTGGTCTCAACCTGTTGAAGTAAATTTACTTACTCTTACAAAAATACTTTTCGGATTCAATGTTTAAATTTTTATTTTCTGTCTATTATTTTTTCATAGCAGGGTATTATTTCGAATACAACTACAATGACGCTGAGATATTTGCAAAACTCAGCCCCAGTCCAGATTCAAACCCATGATTACTCTAAGGGGGCTCACATGTTACTCATTGCACCACTGAGACCTTCGCTTTGCCTTTCAGCCAGTTTTTTATCCTAATGGTCCCATCAGCAAACACCCGTGATCACCCGTACGCAGTAATTAAAGAAATACATTGTAATTTCGACTGCAGCCTCGGCTTAACTGGGTTCAATGCCGATTTATGTTCCGTTGATCATTCCTGTCGACGGGGATTGCTGATGGCCCATTAGGATAAAAACTGAGAGAAAGACTAAGCGAGAGCCTCAGTAGTACAGTGGGTAATAGGCGAGTCTCTGGAAATAGTAGTCGGGGTTCGAATGTTTTTGGTGTAGGGTCTGAGTTTGGGAAATATCTCAGTGTTAGCCATTGTGGTTGCATTTCACTTATTGGATTAATTTGACTTCGCGAACACTCCGGCAATATTATTCGCGTCCGTTTGATTGTGAACTACTATTGTATTTATACTCAAATAAAAATGAAATATAGGTGGCAGACTATCGTTCAATGGACTCACGAAAACAGAACATGGAATGGACAAGCAATCGATATTAACCTTTTGAAGGAATTGCGGGTCAATTGTGACCACTGTCGGATCTGATGGTGTCCGTGACCTGATTGTCACCACAGCTTCACCGGGTATGTTACCCTGTGCGATACGAGTGAACATCACCTGAAATAAATTCGACCACTTATATGTCTACTAATAAAGAGATGAATACATTAACATTTATAACTACATAATTTTTGGTCAAGGCACCGAAGATATAAGCGTCTCCATGATGAGGTGTGGCGCTTATTGATCACCACGGCGAATCAATCAATAACTTTCATAACTTTTACCGCGTTATAATGCATGTGTCAAACCATGGCGAATTTTCAAATGTGCTAATTTGGAAATTTGATTACAACACGGAAGAAAGCATTGGTCAGCCCTCGACTGACAGAACGTTCGAATTACGGTCAGAAAGTTTAGGAATCTCACGTTTTCCACAACAACATCCGGAGTTTGGAAGTGTGCAATGATATCCGCTAGGCCTACATTCGGTCCAATACCGTACACGACAAGCTGATTGACCTTAACGAATTTCATCGCTAACAAATAATCCACTCGATGTCACTGGTGGGAAAACACCGATCAACAACATACCTGCCCTGGTATGATCATATTAGGAGAAACAGGTGGTGAAGGATATGGCCAAAACATTGGCGCTGACATTGGCACAAGTCCAGGAATACCTGAAGGTTCCTATTCTGATCATAAATTTACTAAACGAATTCTTGTTTTACTTTTCCTGATTCGATTTATGAATGTAGTCATTGAAGATAACTTAAGCATCATTGTAATGCTGAAATATTTGCAAAACTCCGGACCGCAGGTGTCTGCGGTGGGGACGAACGCGCTATTGTCCTCTTCGGGGAGTAAAGCGTTCACCACCACACCACGCTGGTCCTTCGTTTCGCCTGTCACTCAACTAGTTCTATCGATCTTTTGCCATCAGCAATCACCCGTCAACGGGATTGATCTGAAAGACAGGCGAAACGAAGGACCCGCATGGTGTGGTGGTGAACGCGTTACTCCCCGGAAAGAACAATAGCGCGGTCGTTCCCCACCGCAGACACCTGCGGTCCGGAGTTTTGCAAATATCTCAGCATCACAATAGTTACATTTAGCAAAATACTTTGCCGTTAAAAAAATAGGCAGTAGATAAAAAGGTTAAGATTAAGCATCATTATTTTTATCTCTAATCCACTATCAATCGGTTATTCAAACCAATATCTAGACTTCTTCAAAATGATTTTTCGACTTGTCTTCTCTTCCTTGTGTGTCTAGCATGATTAAATAGAGAAATAAAACGTTACAAATAAATAATATACGGTAACAAAACTCACTCGGTACGAATGCCGTCGGTCTTTGTGGCAACATAAGCGGTGGTGGTGGTGGTGGTACAGGTGCTGGTGCTTTTGGTGTCATCACCAGGTGCATGTCATCGGGTGAGCATTGGAAGACCTGAGAGTAGAAAATCTAAGGTGCCTTATCTTGGTATTCTTCACGACTATATGAAAGACAATTTTTCTCGAATTGTTTGTGGAATGGAAGGTCTAAGAACCTATCCTAAATATTGTAAGGAGATTTTTGGAATGTTCAACCATCTGATGATACAAATCCTTCTAGTCATCTCAGTTTAATGACTGATTGTATTAATGGTCCATAATTACTGGAATATTTGGATGGTTCGACCTCACTGGTTGTGCTGGTCACAGAATGATCTCCATTATTTCGGAGTTTTGCGCATTTAGCCGTTCTGAAGTCTGCCCCAAGTCGTCACCACCACAGGCAGTCGCCGCCCTTCTGGATCAAAAGGAGATTTGCTACAATGCAACTAGTTGCGGTTTACTCTTAGCTGATCTTCTTAATGGAAACGCCGGACTCCTTCTCAACTTGGGAGACCCTGACAGGGGTGAATACCCCGTTGTACATCGCAGCCCGACGTCCAGGAACACCTCCCAGCCACGAAGAGGCGGTAAAGGCGGTGAACTGTCGACAGGGGTACATAATTTCTTTTACTAATGTATACAACCTTGCTCAGTTTTCGTCACATTAATTAATATTGCCGTTTTTAAATTTTTGGCTAGTTTTACTCTAAAGGTGTTGAATGTTCAATATTCTCACATGGACATTACATACAAGACGGCCATGCGTAACGACATTTCGCAAGCACCACGGGTTGGGTAGGGTTAGGTAGTAAGAGAACTTATGGTGGAGTCAAATGAAAATATCATTTAACAATAAAACTTCAAAACCCTTTGTGGGAGGGTGTCTTTGAGAAGTCGCCAAGCCGCCATAAACAGAAATTGAACACAGAGGAAAACTAAAATCAATCTGGACCAAAATATTGGAAAATGATTGCTGCAGCAAAGTCAGAATAGCTTATCTTTGACCTGATCGCTACGTTTTCTGATTTGTTCTCGAAATGAATTGACATAGATCATTATTAACAACGTGCACCAAGCATATCCGGTCGCCGGAGCCTAGTGGCCTGTTTACTCAAAAGTATAGGCTTAGATAACAGACTTTCGTCGAAATTAAAGGAATTGAAGGGCTTATTGAAAATTTATAGCACACGACAAAAACCTGCTGCCTGTGCATTGAGTTTTGCCATATGGAGTTTCTGGCATATTCAAGCATCACAGATATGAGGACAAATAGAATAATCACTGGACCGTCAACGGATTGGAAAGGACGTATAGGTCATTTTCTTAAGAGATTATAGCAACGAATACAACAAAGCAATCATCCCGCTAAAACAGAACAAGTCATAGTGATCTATGAACTGCGAAGCATTGTGGTCTTAAAACGAAAGCGACTGTATCCTACGTGCACAGCTAGGAAAATCGGGTAGACATAATTAGCAAAAATTCTGCAATAGCGGACTTCTTTGGTTCAGCGCTTTATGAAATTCGTGGTTATATTTGGTTATTCTCTACTTATCCATTTCTTTTATAGAATTTCTAGAGGAAATCGACGTAATTCTCACCTCAATATACCGTTGTTTTTTGCCGATAACCATGAACTTGTTATGAGCAGCTGCTGCTGCACCAGCCGCAGCTTGTTCGCTGTTCATCTGAATGAACGCCTCCCCTGACGGATGACCTGAAACTCCGAAAGATGAGGATCGTCTCATTAGCCTTTCCCATTTCTCAACATTGATTTCGAAATTCGCTCTTAAGCTGCGGTCTCTTCTTTGTTACTTTATTCTTGAGTAAATATTGGAAAAAGATCTTAGAGCAAACTAAGAAATAATATACTTAAGTCATTCTTTCGATGGTCTATGAAGAATCTAGCGATTTAAGAGAGATTGTCGGACGAGTTTTTCAAAGTTGTCCAAGAATCCACACTCTTCTATACCGTACTATAAAAGCAAGTAATGCTTTCGATTTTGCATGAATATCAAAATTAGGTCGTTGAGATATTGATCGATAAAGCATGTCTACCTTGGCTGTTGAACACCATGTGTACGCCTTGGAATTGAATGAATCGTGCATGTTCGCCAAGGAATTCTACAACATGTTCGACCCGTGCCTCATAAGGTAAGCCACGCAAACGAACGCAATCACGTCGCATTCCGTTCACCGACGTCGGTTCGGTTGAACGTTTTACTACCTGAAAAAAAAACGGAATAATAATTGACTAGAATTCCGACTCAGAAGATGGAGAAGCAAATTGCCAGCAGCAGACATCAAAAGTACTTTTTAATCCATCCACAACGGAGGCGCGCCGTTTAGCGTGGCTCGGCGAAGAATACGAGCAATTCTTGGTCGCCTGCGGACGCTATGATTTCAAGACAATGAAAAAAATTTTTTTTGAAAACTAGGGTGCCTTAGGAGCTGTGAATTTGAAGGAATTTAGAGGAAACTTTGCTCTGTTGTTCTATGGGTATGAATGATATGTATGCTACTTTTCACTGTGTCGGTTTGTCGAATTTTAAGATATCCACTGTGTGCTAATATGGTCCATTATGCAAAAACATTAGAGTTAGCATTTGGAAGTATTTTGCAAACATGTTCAGTCGACCTTGGTGTTTTTATATCCACACATTCCATAGAACCATAGTGATTAAAATGGAATAACATTTAATTGCTATAACCGCAATGATGCTGAAATATTTGCAAAACACCGGACCTCAGGTGTTTGCAGTGGGGAACGAACGAGATAATACCGCTTTCGGAAGCTAACGCGTTCACCATCACACTATTCGGATCCTTCATTTCGCCTGTCTTCAGCTAGTTCTATCGATCTCTGCTACGCTTACTAGTTCGACTTCCGAACACGTTAAACAGCCCTTTCAATTGTTTCGGATTCAATAAAACTGTAACGGAATCTGGAAAGGATAAAACGCTCCACTCTTACAGCATCGACAGATTTCCGAACTCTTCGCGTATAAAACGTATATAAATTCACTTCATAGTGAATTGATGAGTCAATATTGAATGAAAGTACAACCATTAGAGCAAAATATTGGAAAAGGACCCATGATACGGTCGGTAAATGTTGCTAGCTTTTGTTCATTTTCGCGAAAACAGCGTTTTGTTCAGCGTAGATAAATTGTAGATTGTTTCCTAAATCTAATCCTATTCGTCTATCTTCCTATCATTCACTTTGTACCAAAATTCAAATGACTATTTGAACTCCTCAAAAATACCTTAGATAGGAAAAAGCCTAAAAATCGTTAACAAAGGTAAGTCGGAACAATACTGGTATTAAGGCAGACAAGGTTTGTACTATATTCGTAGTGCCCCATTTTCTCTTTCAAGCAACCAAATTTTTGGTAGAAAAACCGCAATGAGGAACCGGTTTATTGGTACTTTGCTGCTCGTTGTGGTGTACTTTTCAAAAAAAAAGTCGAGTCCATGCCAATTCCACTGCAGAATAGAGGCTGTTAAAGAACTTCCACTGATAATGGTAAGAAATTTTCCCCGCTATAATTCCGCTGTTCACTCGATGGAAGTTCGAGGACCGAGAACTGCGTTCTCATTTTTCCCTTTCTCTCATCTTCATTTCCATTTTATTTTCTGAACTCATTGTCCATAAATACCTCAACGTGGCTAGAAGACATTTCTGGTTGTCAGGCTGTGATGTATCAAGGTGATTTCATTCTCTAGCTGAGTCAGCCTAACTGACATGGAGTTCAATATCGCCATAAAAAAGGCCAACTAGAGTAAATTGGTGACAGCAAATAACGCGTTATAGTAGCAATCAAACCACAAGGTGGCAACTCTGTCTCCGATTCACGAGGGCTGGATCTGCCTGTGGTAGCAACTTGGGATAGTTCTAGCTCGGCTGTCTCGTAATTTCATATGAAGGAAATTTTATCCAACCAATAATTTACGGGTGACACTGGAAATTTGGGTGGAGCACGAACCATTCATCGGTAAGACAAACCATTAAATTATTTGAGGACACAATTACTGATGAAACTACTTAATTTTGCAGAAGCAAAACATTGATTTTGTTCCCAATGCAAAAATGTACAGTCCATTGAAAAGATTAAAAAATTGGTCAGATAAAACCAATCGATAAGCTCGAACAGATCGCTGATTACATAAAACTCATAAATCTTCTATAGTGGAAAATTTTAGAAACCATCTGCCATTACGAATTGTAGTGAATTACTTTTCTTATCGTCACTTAGAACTTAATTGGAACCTATTACTATTGAAATATGTGCGTTTTGGAAAATTAATAATATTTGACACAACAACTGACATATTAAAAAGGAGATACATTAGGTATTATATATATATATATATATATACATATAACTACAAAAAAAGGATAAAACTCTTGGCGTTGGTAAATCCCTGAAGGGCGCGTCATGCATTCGACTTCCATCGTTGAAGGTGACTGAATGCATATCTGGCCTTTACAATGACTCGCGGTGGCCTACCGATGTATAGAGCCAATGCTGCTATCCTCGCAGACAACTCGGGTACCAATTTGCCCAAACCGGAGGTATGGAAGGCTTGGTGGGCCACGGGCGCGGGGATCGATTCCATGTGTAGTACAGAGTGCCTCCGACCACTGCAATACACGCGCTCTACATAACTATATTATTATATTAAGACTAATATTACATATCGAGGCGGATGTCACAGTGGCAGTGATGTCAGTCATCATGAGCATGGTACCAGCTCCATTCCACTCTGGGCCAACCAAGTCTCTAATACACCCGGGGTCGGGAAACTGGTACCGGACTTGTCTGGCAAAAAAATCGCTCTCTGTAATACAATTGGGATAGTTCCAGCCTGGCTAGAGGATCTCAGGACTCCAGGGAGAATTTCTCGACCAGCATTCTACGACATTCAACATGAAATGAAAATCCTCAAGCAGCAACCGAATAATCCACACGTAAAAGTTGGTAGATCATCGTGGATAATGGATGCTAGGAAACGAATCGAACGTGAGAAGTGCTGGGATCCGCACAGTAGACTTGAAGACAGGTCATATAAATAAATAAATAAGAGATAAACAAAAACTGATATATAAGGTGGAATTCAAGAAAAAACAGCCGAAGGATAACAATAGGCAGTTTATCAGGTAAAGCTATGTTCCAAAGATATTCGTATCTTTGTCGGCAAGAGCTCTAACACAGCCTCAGACAAAAAAAATTCAAAGTATAATAATCTTAATAAAAAATGTTGTGATTGCTTTCCCAGTTAACAACTGAACGCATTACTGATTCATTATAACACACGTAGTCATTGAGCATGAGAAGAACATGCTTCATCGCGCACCTTTTGGCCGTATGTTTTCCTTTCGGCCTTAATCCACGGTAACTACAGTAGAATTTTTGGTTTTAGATGCCTACAAGAATCTCGTAACTTGCAAAACGCCGTGTCCATTAGGGCAATAGAGAACTGGGCCCTATCGTGAGCTAGCAAGTAGTGTAATCCTTAAATCCCAATCCCTACTAGGATCGACAACTTTTGCAAATGAGATCATAAAGTATGAAACATAAAAGCAATTGGCTTTGAACAATTCTTAAGAGATACACGCCATGCAATGCATACGACACCATTTGTCCCTTAGTAAAGGCTATTCAGTGCATGATAATCCTATACAATGACTTGAAAAGCGTCTGTCGATAAACCAAATCAGTGCTTCTATCCTTCCAGACTAGCGTGATGCATGCAGAATCCGAACAGATAGAGGTTATGGTTAACTCGAAAGACGTGATCGAATAAAAGACCAAAAAAGCGTACTGAAGAGTACTTCTAACCATCTTAAGATTGCACATAAGTAACTCTAAGGGTGACATCGCTATGAATGGTAACAGAAAACAACAACTTGTCATTGATAGACGACCTGGAAACTGATCTCTAATGATGACGGTTAGATAGAATGGGCAGACAGAGGAGAGGGTTTCAACACATGTCATACCACGCTATGAACCAGTTTCGCACAGCGGGGTTTCCTTGTAGACTAATGAATGAAATAGTAGTAATTGCACCGAACATTCACTCTCAACAATGAACGTTTTCCACTGCCATCAAAAACGCTGCACTGTTCTTAACGACGTTGTTAATGCTTAGGATACCATTAAGAATTCTTCTGCTTTCAACTACAGAACTTTACATTGAAGAGTGGTGTCGATGATTGGTTGAGAGATTACCATGCTGATTACACGAGAACAACGCTAGTTCAACTAACTGATGACGCTTCCTTCTCTAGAACAGAACCTGTGCGACCTCCAGCTGAATATTTTCATGCCCTTTTCTTTGAGATCAGTCTCTTACGAACCAAGACACTCTTGCTTTCACAAATCCTTTAAAGTGCTTAATGTTGGGCAATCGCCCATAAGAAACCAAGTCACTCGTTAGAAAAAGTTTTTTTACTTGTTGCGGAAAACCGATATCGTATACATGAACTTGTGTGATAAAGGAATTGTGCTAAAGGTAATGAGTTCGGTACTTTGAATACAGTATCCGAAAACTCATAATGTCCGGCTCATATTATACCAGATCTGAGCAATTCACAACGGCTCTCCTCTTTTGTTATTATTCTGAATTTCAGTACTAGATAATGGATTCTGCCATTGCCAAGCTGATCGCGATAACGGTCCTGGCTAATTAAGGAAATACTGATGCAAAGAGAATCGGTGAGCCTATTACGTAAACCTGACGCGATCCAAGAAGTAGAACAATCATCTTCGACCTACCTTGGGCGACTTTATTTACCTACCTTTCTTCGTAGGTTCCGAACTAAGATATACAGTAATTAGCCTATTGCTAGAGCAAACTTACTCAAGTCGACAAGGTGTTTCATTTTTCCACCCAGAAGCCCAGTTATGGGCAAACCAGTAATACACACCCGTACCCAGAGAGCTATCCATGACTACTTTTTCTTCTAAAATAATAGAAAGAAAGAGCTTTATCCATAGAACTAGCTGAGAGACAGTCGAAACGAAGAACCAGCGTGGTGTGGTGGTGAACGCTTTACTCACCGGAAAGGACAATGGTGCGTTCGTTCCCCGCCGCATACACCTGCGCTCCGGAGTTTTGCAAATATCTCAGCACCATTAAAGTTATATTTCACAATGTATACACTGCCGTTAAAAAGAGTAGGCAGTAAATAATAAGTTAAAAAGAGCCTTATATTAAAAATGTGAGGTTCTCCGAACCTCTAATGAGTCGAATAGTATCCAGGCGATCATTTTAGTATTAATCAATTAAAAACACCAATCAAAATGTGGTGGATCGGATGAGAAAGCTCGGGAATCAGAACATCGCTGTTTCTTGTAAACGTCGAGATCGTTTGACAGCTCAAACAACACATGAAAAATGACCTGTCGGTGTCATGTGGTGAAAACGATTCAGCCGACCGAATATGTATAGTTCAACACTTCTAGGACACATAATTTCTTACGGAATGCCAAAAATCATTCATCATCCCAAAAGCTCAAAAGATTTTATACAGTGCGATTTATATTAGTACGTACTACAAATATGATTAATATTCGAATTGGTACCATGTCGCTCAAATTTTGAGCTACATTTATAGAGGATAAAGCTCTCGGTATTGATCAATCCCTGAGGGATGTGCCATGCATTCGACTTCATTAAGTATCGTTGGAGGTGACTGAATGCATATCTGGCCTTTACAGTGACTCGTGGTGGCCTACCGATGTATCGAGCCAGTGCTGCTATCCTCACAGACAAGTCTGGTACCAGTTTGCCGACCACTGCCGCAAACGCGCTACATTTACAGGAAATCTTTTATAATTAATTGGATACATTTCAATAACAAGGTAAACATACTAATTTTTTCCCTCTCTATTTCAACGATATCACACATCAGCCAAATAGATTCTCCAAATTCAAGTTTTGGGTAGAAACGTTTCCAAATCTAAGTGCTAGAAGCCAGTTTTTTAAGGGTACTAATGGATCGCCAAGATCTGCCGAAGCGAAGGCTGCATTTCGTTGGGCTTGTGGAATGGAATCCTTGAA